ACACTTTTAAAATATTATTTTATTAAATATTGGCTATGAACCGGAAATGTACATAAACGTCAAAACACAATATGGCGAAATTTAGCACAAGTTGACGTCACAAAAGTCATGCATAAGCCACGCCCATATGCGCGGTATCTTATCTGTTTGTATTTGTATCATGATTAAGCTGTTTGCTTCGCAAGTTTTAGGAAGCACGGTGACTTATATTTGAATTCGATTTCGCCAGGTAGAAATCGTATGATTTCTCTTTTTGTTCTTAGATGGCGTAGTTACGTCTGTACATAGTTATTTTTAATAACTATGGTCTACGACGGGAAAATATTTTGGTTCGATATGGAGTAGTTGCTATACCGTACTGAGGAGACCTAAAGAGGTCGAAATACGTATATGCGGCTTGTAGCTGCTCTGTATCGAATCAAAATCTAATACCGTCATTGTGTTTTATTTCTTTACTTCGTTTGGAGTACCAGAAATCGAATTCACTACGAAAATTGGCCATGATGAACGGCATTTGGAGTGCAATTTTAGATTCCCTTGCCGACTTATTCATCAAGCTGTTTGCTTCGCAAGTTTTAGGAAGCACGGTGGCTTATATTTGAATTCGATTTCGCCAGGTAGAAATCGTATGATTTTTCTTTTTGTTCTTAGATGGCGTAGATACGTCTGCACATAGTTATTTTTAATAACTATGGTCTACGACGGAAAAATATTTTGGTTCGATACGGAGTAGTTGCTATACCGTACTGAGGAGACCTAAACAGGTCGAAATACGTATATGCGGCTTGTAGCTGCTCTATATCGAATCAAAATCTAATACCGTCATTGTGTTTTATATTATTTGCTTCTGCTATATCACGTAGTTTCAAAATAACATTGTCAGGAATTACGCAGCCAGCGCTGGCTGATTTTTAGATCAGGTGTGCCGTGTGCCTCATTAGTCACTATCGGTTAGGAGACTTTAATGGTTTGCTCTTCAGGAAGAAATAAATATCTTTATTTTAAAATAGGAAAATGTTAATTGGACATAAAATACTATCAATTGATGTATACATGAGATCTGTGACATCATCACAGACACTGTGACGTAATTATAATAAAAAATTAGATGGATGGTAAGAATGAATGTTAGTTCAGATAAAATAAACATAACTCATCACATACACTAGTAAACTGTAACCCTTAGATTACCAAATTAGGATTTTGTATGAGTCCATTTGTGAGGCTAATTTTCATACATGCAATACAGGGTGTTTAAAAAAGGTGTCATAAATTAAATCACGCATTCAGTGGACAAAAATTAATTGATTGAATCCAACTTACCTTAGTACAAAAGGGTACACAAAAAAAGTTACAGCCCTTTGAAATTACAAAAAAAAAATCGTTTTTTTGCATTATCTCCTAAACTACTTGACAATTTGTATTAAAAATAGATACGTTCCTTTTTTGTTCTGAAGCATTTTTCATACAAAAGATGTAACGGAGATATTTTGCCTACCACAGGGGGCATTAACACAGGGGATAGAAAATTGGTGGAAGAAACTATTGGGGGTGGAGATAAGGCAAGCAAAATAATCGCTACTTGTGCGAACGGCACTCAGGGTTTGGTAGGAGAGCTGGGGTCGTGGATAAGTAATAGATAAGGGGAGTGGAATGGGGCAACTACACAAAATGAAATAAAGGGGGTCATTAATCTTTTGGAATAAACAAAATAAAAATAAACAGGAAACACCTCAAGGAATTTAATATAGGGCGCCACTTAAGGTGCCTAATTACACCTATCACAACCACTAGTTGTAACTAAGAAAATAATTAGAAAGCATCAAAAACATATCTTTTTCAAACTCAAAAAAAGGTTAGTTCAAAAAAAAATAAAATGTTAAGAAAACAAAATTCAACATTTATTTTTCTGTCACCACAAACAGTTACAAAACAAATGATAATTACAAAAACAATGTTGCTATCGGTTTACAACTCTAGACGGTGGGGACACTATAAGAACTTACATTATTAATAACTTGAAATCATATAGATCTTTCAATGCAGTTTACATTAAGGTCAACTTTAAAAAAAACAAAACAAATTCAAAACTTATGGTTAGTTATGTGTATAAGAATAAGTAATTATTAGGATAGTTAGCCAAATCCCAATTTTTATAATTTTACATATTACAATTTTTCAACTTGTCATAAAAGCAATTATTAATGATAAATGTCTATTTTTACTTAAAAAAAAATTAACAAAAAAAGTACCTGACTTCACTAAATATTAGTTTTGGGGTTGGAACTGGTTTTCTAAACACTGCAAAATAACACAAATGCGTCTCCAAGATTCAGAATGGTCTGGAATGACCAGAGACAAACAAATAGACGAAGGAAGTTGAAGTTGGGCTGGATCATCGGGCTTCGGGTCAAAAAAATTGCAAACTTCTAAGCTTGGCTTTTCAAAACTTCATTGAAAATACGATGGCCTCTTATATCGTTGTAACACCTTACAAATCTTCCATTTAGGACATAATACAACACATATAACTTTCCACAAACAGGATCTGTCGGCTTTCTGAAGATTACACGCCGAGATCGTAACTGCCACCACAGTACACATTTTCCCATGACAAAAGACAAAAAAAAACGAAAAAACCTTACGAATTTGAAGAAAAATTCGGACTTCAATAAAACTACAAACGCTCTTGACAGCGGTTTCACCGAGAGTAAAGAAATTATCTTTTAAAATTGATCGCATAACAATAACAAACACTTGACAGGAATTAAAACGCAATTTCAGGCGGTTTGACGATCAAAGGAATATCGAAGAACTTGGACATAAACAAACAATAAAATGATTTATCAACACAAAAATCGACTTGGCGACGTGAAAAGAACGAAATAATTTGGTGTTTAAATACGTACAAATCGGAAATTGAAACACATTAAAAAACATTCTGTGATTTTTCAAACATTTATGAGGGGTGTTTAATATATCACCTATATCAGGAGATTTCAATCTATTTTAAAGAATCAATGAAATTGAAAATGCTACAAAGAAACAACAAAATCTAAACTCACAGAAAAATTTTAAGGAGGTATGCAGCTCTAAATCCCTCCAAACTTTTGAGTACGTTCAAATCAAATAAATTTTGTGGCATCATTAGTTTACCACGTTATTTTTAAAACTTTATTGCCTCCTATCACTTTTTCGAAAAACTAGTTTTTACCTAGTTGGCCATGAAAATACAATCAGTTTCTACGGATACAATAATTACAAACAGTTCTATCAATAATAGTTAATAATTTGAAGCTATCATTTATTGTGTGAATAAGATTAATATTAAAAATTTTGATATTACAATGGCCTATACATTTCAGGAAATGGCAGATGTGCATTTAACTTTGGGTAAGTTGGATAAGATTAAATTTAATTTAAATAAACTATCGGGAATATCGTAGGTAAATATCAAGGAAATAGTGTAGCAGCCGCAAGGCGTTATGCAATAAAATACCAAAATCGAAATACACCCCATAGACGATTATTTCTGACGATTGATAGTCGTTTACGGGAAACGGGTACATTCCAACCGCAAGTTGCTGGCAATAGTGGTCGTCTAATAATGGATGCAACCGATGAAGACATTTTAGAAATCATCGAAGAAGTCCCTGGAACAAAGACAAGGGTAATAGTTGCTCAACTACATGTTGAACGTGTAAAACGATTAGATTTTGCGATTGGTTGCTAATGGAAAATACTCGAAATGTTAATTTTATTAGAAATATTTTATTTACCGACGAAGCTACCTTCAGCAGGAATGAAATAATAAACCATCATAACGAGCATATTTGGACCGACAAAACTCCTCACGCCAAACAACGACTCATCACTAAAGGACTTTCAAAGTTAATGTTTGGGCAGGAATTGTGGATAACAATCTAATAGGTCCAGTATTTCTTCCCAACAATTTAAATGGTGATAATTATTTGCAGTTCTTGGCAAACTATTTACAAGAGTATTTGGAAGAAGTAAATATTGCAATAAGGCAAAATATGTGGTTTCTACAAAATGGCCTCCACCACATTACAGTAATGAAGTCCGGGAATACCTTTGCAAGTAGTATCCTGGTTAGTGGATTGGAAGGGGTTATGACGCACCTATTTCTTAGCCACCTAGAAGTCCAGGTCTTAACCCCATAGACTTTTGCTTTTGTGAGTTTATAAAAGAAAAAGTGTATTCTATAACAATAGAGGACAAACAATAATTAAGGTTTAGAATAATTGAGGCTGCAAATTAAATTCGTTAGAAAAATATGATTTTTCAGAGCATTCGGTTTTTCTTATTAAAACGATACCGAAAGTGTATTGAAGAAAATGGGGGTCATTTTGAACATTTATTGTAGCATATTTATAGAGATTAAAGACATTTTTTGTACTTGTTTATTCATTTAAGCCATTTATTAAATTGCACGTAATTTTTTTTGAGGGCCGTAACTCAATAAAAACTGTTTTTTGACAAAAGTGATAGGAGGCAAAAAAATGTTAAAAATAATTTGTTAAACTAATGATTTCACAAAATTAATTTGATTTAAACGTACTCAAAACTTTGGGGGAATTTAGAGCGGCACACCTCACTTAAAATGTTTCTGTGCGCTTAGATTTTGTTGTTTCTTTTTTTATGAGAAATGCTTTCAGAACGTGTCCATTCTTATTACAAAATGTCAAGTAATTTGGGAGATAATGCAAATAAACAATTATTTTTTTGTAACTTCAAAGGGCTGTAACTTTTTTTCTGTACAATTTTGTACTAAGGTAAGTTAGATTCAATCAATTTATTTTTGTCCCCGGAATGCGTAATTTAATTTATGACAGACCTTTTTGAAACACCTTGTCTAAATCTTTCATTTCATTTTATTTTATTTGATACAATAGTAAAAATGACTTAAATCACTAAATGTGTCAAGATTTTTCCTATTTGTAAATTTGCAGAAGAATTATTAATACAACAATACTTACGAGCACTTATCCTAATATTCCTCATACTTAAAATTTTAAAATTTCCATTTTCATCTGTGGCATATACAGTAACATGATACACTCCATCGGCTGTGATAAAACCAAACTCTCCCTGGATAATACCATTTTGATCTATAAAAAGTACATAACTGATTATCATGTTATAAATATATTGTCATAGTTTTTATCACACTCTTTCATTATAATTTTCTCAAGCTTTACATTAAAATTTAAAACATTTTCAAATAATTCATAAATTTCTAAAACACGGTTTTCTTTTGAGCGCTAAAATAAAGTTTCATTCTTTCTCAATTAATTATTCTTACATTGTCCGAAGCATTGTCGACGAAGTTTTGAAAAGCATTGTTATAGGGTGGCGTAATACCACAAAACCTTTTTATCAAACAATATCTCATATAAAAATCAATATTAACTCTATAAGCTGCGATGAAAGCCCTTCATAAAAGGTTTATAAAAGCTTTGTTCAAATGGTAATGTCCGTGAAGCGTGCCGAAGTTTTTCAGAGACGGTATGGAATAATTTTTCTAATAAAAGCTCTAAAATGTTCCAATTAATTATTTAGTTTAATATCCTGGAACAATAAAAATGATTGTTTAAACACTTTAGAAGAACAAAATTCAGAAAAGGACCAAACTAAAACTTATTAAAAAATATTTAAAAATGACAACCTCTGATAAATACCTATAAGGATTAAATGACTAAAGATCAGTCAACATTTCAATGTTGAATTGTATAGTTATAAAATTCATATTCTCCACGTTTCTCAACTTTGGAAAAATGAGAAAAACTGTTTACTATTGAAGGTCATGGTATAAACTTCAATTTTTTTCGTGTAAAAACTTTCTTTTAATAGAAACTCTTTGCCTAAACTTTATGGGTGTATTTAATGAAAATTGTTTAGTAAATTTATTTTTTTTTATTTAAATTAATATGTCTCGGCTGCAATGGCCATTGACAAACAATATTGTGTACTATAATTACCATAAGCACATGTTACTAATTGCTACAGTTAATATATAAGCTTAGAACCTATGACTAAATAATACAATAGTTTTATCACTAAGTTATATATAAGTTAAAGTTAAAGTACATGGAAAACAAGGGGTCATATCCTGTTGAACAACTAGATGTCTTTCAAGAAACCAATTCGGTAAAAGACTTGATCGGGTGAGTTTAAAACGTCTTTGATATTTGGCACTCTGTTTATGTTGCACTCTGTGTTTTGCGTACCGGGGACACTCGCTCAGGATATGTTTCACAGTTAATACACTTGAGCAGATTTAACAATTGGACTTCGGCTCGAATTTCATTAAATATTCATGTGTGAATCGGGTATGTCCTATTCTTAATATTCGGATGACAGCTTTTTCGTTTCTCGACATTTTTGGAAGTTTAAATTTTTCCACAGTCTGCCGGATCTCATGTAATGCACTCTTGAATGTGTTCCAGTGAGTTTGCCAGGAATGATACTGTTGTTGCTTGAAAATTTTCCTTAGGTCATTACGGATTTGAATATGTTGAGCTTTTAAGGATTGACTGTTTACACAAGAAGCTTGTTTGGCTGCTTGATCTGCTTTTTCATTACCGGGGATGCCGACATGGGATGGTAGCCAGATGATCGTGACATTTACACCTTGAAAAGCGAGTGCAATGTGTGTCCTATGGCTTTCTTGAACTAAGGGATGCTGAGTGTATAAACTTTTAATCGATTGTAGTGACGACAGAGACTCTGTGCATATTGCTTGGTTTTGATGATCTGTTTTTAGTTTTTTAAAAGCCTCTAGTATCGCATAAAGTTCTCCAGTGTATACGCTGCATAAACTCGGTAAAAAAGATGATTTTATTACTTCATCGTTTGTGGTAACGGCACATCCAACGCCTGCTTCGCTTTTGAAGGCATCTGTATAGAGAATAGTTTGGAATTGGTTCTTGCTTATGATTCCTTTGAAGTTTTGCCTTATGAGAAGGCTTGGGGTTTCATGTTTGCTGTATTCTAATAGAGAAGTGATTGAATGTAGGATTGGTCTATGTCAAGGCGGAGTATCTGGGATTGGGAGGGGATGTGTTTTAGTAAGGTCGATGGTGTTTCTTAGAGTTAATTTCTGGATGTCTATTATCGATTGGATCCTTTGCGGGGTCTACGGAGGCGATGTTAAAATAAATAAATGTTATACTGGATTGGATGGGTTTGCGGATACGGAAGCAAAGTAAGATTAAAGAAGATACTCTTGTCGAATACAGAGAGGTGGTTCATTAGCCTCGCAGTAAAGGCTATCTATGGGACTAGATTTGAAAGCGCCTAAGCAAAGACGAATAGAAGTGTTATGCACAGAGTTCAGTAGCTTTAAGTCAGATTTTGATGCAGACATGTATATGAAGCTGCCGTTGTCCAGTTTTGAGCGGATTAAAGCTCTCTCTCTATATATATAGTCTATATATATAAATATATATATATATATATATAGAGAGTCTATATATCTCACTCTATAGTCTCTATATATATATATATATATATATATATATATATATATATATATATATATATATATATATATGAGTCTCTTCATTGCATTGCCCTTTAATAATATGCTGTGTCCAAGTTAGCCTACTGTCAAACGTTAAACCAAGTATTTTTTTATGAGTAACTAGTTGCAATGGAGTTCCATTAATAAATTTAATTTAAAATTCAAACAATGTGAGTTTTGTACCAAAATGTGGTTAACTGTGAGTTTTGCGCCAAAATCTCATAAATAATGTTAGTTATGATGCAAAATATTTGAACTTTGCTTTATTTATATTTTAACCTTAAATTAAAAACTGGAACCAAGAAAGATAAGGTAATTTAGATTGTTATAATTTTTATGGATTACAAATAAAAACATTTATATAGAGAAATAGAGAAATAGTGAGAATAGGCCTTGTAATTTGTAAAACACAATTATGTTATTTCAATTTTAATTTTAACAAATCATTAAATTTACTTTACAGGGCAATAATGTTTTACTCTTTAAAACTAATTGGTATTTGTTTTGTAAATCAGACTTGCTTTGATTGTTTTAGATACACTGTTTAGAATGACGTATTTTTAAACATTAAAAATGTTTCTTCGATGTGTTCACATACTGACTCGAGTTCTGCATTGTCATCAGCCCCATCGATCAGATTTTCAGGAATCAAGGCATCAAGTTTGGGTTCATGTTCAAAAGCAGTTTTCCTGGCTTGGTAAAAGACTTTGCCACACCCATGTATGACTTGTACGTGTACTCACCTCTAACGAGAACATTTTTATATTGTTTTAATTAGAATAATCTTTATGCAGGTCTCTAGTTGAAAATAAAATTGTGCCGATTTTTTCATGAATACATCATTTTCTTTATTTCAGTCAAAGACGTAACAGTCTTGGCCAACCTTTACTACTTTTGAATGTTTATCAATGTATGCTGATGATTTCTAAATCACCTATTTTTCTCATAAACTTTTCTGAGGCTTCAAATACTCCATCTGGTGGAAGATAGCGATGACCTGTTATGGGAAAAAAGTAAAAACTCTACCGTTTTTACATTTTTTTGTGCATGTTTAGAAAGCCAGAAACAATCCATGGCCACAACTATTGAATTTTTGTTCGGACCCCCATATTTATCACTCACTAATCGCATAGTAGTAATAGGGCTTTCCATTTCTTTTATTTTAAGTGTATCAAAAACAGACGAAGCAATTTCATTAGATTCTGAATTCTGATTCAAACATTATCTGAAGTCACTTTACTTTTAGAATTCCCTTTGACGACAATGATGTTGTAAAGGTATATTTTCCTACTATAGTAAGTGGCTCAATCTGGTAATTTGGGTAAGGGTAGGTTATCTTTGACAATCAAAATTAAAACTCAAAATTTTTGGATCAGTGCATTTTAGTGATTCAAAAAAAGCCTTAGCGCGTAATTTAGGAACAGGCTTTTCAGACATGAGCTCTTTTTTTTTCGTTTTCTTGCTGTGCATGTTTTAACCATTTATCTAACTGTAGACAAGTAGAGCAAACGTCTACCCTAGGGGATCCGAAGCCATGATTGTACTTCGTGTTGAAAATGGAGCTAAAGTTCCAGTGTGTTATTTTAAAATCACTCCGATCTTCTGTGAGTGAACTGATGTGAATTTTTCTAATATTCAACTCAGCAGAAAAATATTAGTAATTAGGCTTTGAAAATTTAAATATATTTATAAAATTCATTACATCCGTTTTCTTACGAAAATTATTAGTAGAATCCCTGTCACCTCCTCTGTTTTCTTTACTAATCTGATTGGTTTCTCTAAAACGCTTTAAAATACCATTTACCTGAAATCGTGAAACATGGAGTACACCTATGAACGTGTTAAGGCATACAAGCATCATACATTTATCTTTCAAGCCTATAAAATATTTGGTCCTCATAGGTTGTCTTTTGTACTGTCCAGAAGTTGGTCTTTTTCTTTTAACTTCTACTGATGAGGAAAACTTCAGAATAAAATTATATTGGTAAACTTTATCTTCTTGAGAGTATAAGTTTTGATAAAAACGTCTAATATCTTGAAAAGGAACGGTAGCGAATTGAAATTGCTGTACTGTAACGTTCAATGAAGCCGAGGTCATAACATCCATAAAGATCGGACGTCTGCGCTGGTTGGGCAATTTTGAACGGATTTTAGAGACTGGAAAACCAAAACATATAATAAAGCAAATACCAGTAGGGAGGAGGTCAAAGGGAAGACCCAAACTTAGGTACATGGAACAAGTAGATCAAGATCTGAAAACACTAAAGACTACCAACTGGAAAAACAAAGCAAGGAACATAACAGAATGGTGGAAAATCCTAGAACAAGTCAGTACTCAGAAAGGGTTGTCGAGCTACTGATCATGATAATGTACTGTAACGTAATAAACTTCACATGTTTTTTTATTTATTTTTAAATAATTATTTTATTGTATTATGTTTTGAATTTATACATTTGTCAACTCCCTGATTGTTTTACCACTGTTTTTTCTAAAAATAGTTGGCGGTCAATGGTTCTATTAAGTACTTAAATACTCTGTTTAGTTATTATTCTTTAATGTGAGTTCTTAATTATTTCTGAATTTCG